AGTATCTTCTTGTGAAGATATGGTGTTTTGGGATTCTATCGCATGGAGCTGCTATCAGTGGTTCGTATTCCACCAATTGATCCGTTAATTTGGAGTGCGATCCCTCACTTTTGTGCCATAGACCCAGGTGTTTGAGTCTAATGATCGCCATGGCGGCCTCCTGCTGTATGAATAGATCCAGGGGTGGCAGACCAAGAGCCACCTCCAGTGCGGCAGTAGGCGTTGTGCGCATACAGCCAGTGACCGCGGAGCATGGGAGTCGCTGGAATTGCTGCAGTTTGTTTATGACGATGCTTAGCTCTGTTCTCTGCCACCAGACAACAGCACCGTAAGTGATTATTGGTCTTATGACTGTCCTGTATAGCCATAAAGTAATTTTGGGTGATAGTCCCCAGCTTTTGCCGAGTAGCCGCTTGCATTGGCAGAAAATAATGCAGGCTTTATTCAGTTTTTCATCGAGGTGCTTATTCCACAGGAGTTTACTGTCCAGTATTACTCCTAGGTATTTGACCTCTTTGGTAAGAGTAAGTTGTGTTCCAAATAGCTTGGGAAGTCTAAGATTTCCTAGGCTGCGTTTGTTTGTGAACATGATCATCTCTGTTTTGGATGGGTTCACTGTCAGGTTGTGTGCTACGCACTATTGTTCCACGATCTTCAGTGCAAGTCTCATTTGATCGCATGTATTGCTCTCAAAAGGACCGCTGATGAGAATAGTAAGATCGTCTGCATAGCCTATTGTGAGGAATCTTTGGTCATTAAGTTGTGCGATGAGCTCATCCACAACAATGTTCCATAGAAGGGGGGAGAGTACACCGCCCTGGGGGCAACCTCTAGCCACCACTCCTCTAGTCACTTCGCTCACAGTGAATTGTATAGCTCCATATCTTAGCATGCTGTCGATCCACCCTGAGATTGTGGAATCAACACCATGCCTAGACAGAGCTTGGCTAATGCTGGTGAAGTTGATCTTGTCAAAGGCTCCCTCGATATCGATAAAGGTGGCCAGTGTTGACCTTTTGTGATTTAGATTGTCTTCTATATATGAAACAACTCGATGTAGGGCAGATTCTGTCGATTTACCCATCGAGTATGCGTGTTGATTGAGGTGTAGAGGGTGACTGACTAACGCAGTTTCCCTGATTTCCCTATCTATTAGCCTCTCGAGAACCTTTAGTAGGAAAGATGTGAGACTAATAGGTCGGTGTAACGGTGTAAGTAACCTTTACCAGGTTTGGGGATGAAGACTACTTTAACTTCTCTCCATTTCAAGGAGATGTACTGATGCGCCAGGCAGCCCCTATAAATTTTTACAAGATGGTCCAGTAGTGTCATATCACACCATCTCAGTAGGCCTGGGAAGACACCATCCAGTCCTGGCGCCTTGAATGGTAGGAAGCTGTTAATTGCCCATCTTAGTTTGTCATGGTTGACAACTTTGCGGGCCGTATCCCAGTCTGTATCATCTGGTGGTTTTTCCCATCTGTCTTCCCATTTTTCCATCACATCTGATATGCGACATCCAGGGAAGTGTGTTTTTAATAACAGCTCTGAGGCTTCCGAGTCTGTTTTGGTATACTCACCATCAGGCTTCTTCAGTGAGCCAAGATTGTGATCGCCTCTACTACACAGTATGCTTTTGACTCTATTAGCCTGGTTGTTGTTCTCTACGTTAGTACAAAAGTTTCTCCAGCACTCAGTTTTCCTGGTTCTGATTCTCTTCTTACATTGTTGTCGGGCCTGCGTGTAGGCATCCCAATGTTGGTCTAATCGCGAGTTTTTTGCTTTATTGAACAACTTTCTCACTTTACGACGTAGTCTTTCCAGTTCCGGACCCCACCATTGGTGTTTGTTCTGTGGTCCATTCTGGGTGTGGAAAGTGGGCATGTTTGTTCAAAGCAATCGATCTGTGTCTGTGTAAGGTTGACAACATGACTGTCAATGTCCTTAACAGTCCCCGTAGCGTATGTTGGGTTGATGCTTCGCAGATTCTCCGCAGTAAGATGTTCATACCGTTTCCGGTCCATCGTGCGGGGATTCCGTCGGGGATCGGGTAGTTTAAGTTTCATTTCAAGGTTAAATTTGATCCAGCGATGGTCTGAGCACGATGCTTCGTTCGAAACATGCCAGTTCGATATGTGTTGCGATGCGTGCTCACTTGCTAATGTAAGATCAATTATAGTTTGGGCCCTGGATGTGACAAATGTCGGCTCCGAGCCCACGTTGATAATGTTAAGGTTAGTTGATAATAGGAACGATACAAATTCCTTACCTCTCCGGTTGTTGCTCCTGCTGCCCCACAGCGCATGGTGCGCGTTGGTGTCGGCAGAGATGATCAGCTCCAGACCCTCGCACTCGCAGTTGTGTGCCAGCGCAGCCAGCTCCGGAGTGGGGATGTCAGCATCGCCCGGCAAGTAGGCTGATGCTATCACCACGTCAGGCAGGTTTGACGAGGGTTCCTTTAACCTAATAGAGGTAAGGTCTCTGGAACAGAACTCGGTCATTAAGGTAGTACACGCATGTTTTGGTGTATAAATACAAGTGCGCGGGTTATCAATGGTAGTGTTGAGAAGTATCTTACCTCCAATATTGTTTAGACCGCAGATCCTGCCCTTCCTAATCCACGGCTCCTGGATTAGGGCTACGGTGTTGGTTTTTACCTCCAGCTCTCTGGGTAGGTTAGCCGTTGCTCTATGGCTGTGCTGGAGGTTGGTTTGGATGGCTATAAGGGTGTTATGGGGGGGTGCAGACAGCATATCCTCTATGTCGTCGAGGTCACTCTCGCCCACCGGTAGGTCTTCCAACTCCTCAGGAGGTGGACCCCGGCAGGCTGTCTCCTCAACGGGTATCAGAGGATCCCCTCCATTGCCGTCCTTACGGTGTTGTGGGGCCGATTCTGGCTCCTCGTCTGGGTTAGTTGGTGGGGCGGGACGTTCATCAAGGAAGCGAACGTAAAGGTTACCCAGTTTGTAGTATACTCTACGCTCGCTAGCCTTGAGCTTCACGACGTCCTCTTCTGGGATGCCGAGCACTAGGAAGAGACATTTCTTTTCCTCCTGCGCCTCGGCATGGTAGAGGGCCTAGTTGGCCACATTATACTGGCTATTCTGGTACTTTAGCCTCGTTTGTATACGGACCAGTGTATCATCTGGTCCGATTTGTGGTACCAGGAGTCCAGCCTTGATCCTTTTCGGGATCTCAGACTGCCTCCTGACGACCAGTTTGGTGCCTTCACGTGGTGATGGGATCCTTACCAGGGATCGGCGAAGCCACTGTAGGGCATATTCGTCGTTGCACCACATCTTAAGGGCGCCCTCACTGTAGAAGGCCTTGCCCCTAAACTGTGGCGCAGCGACGGGTGCGCTTGACGTGCCGGGCGAGAAGATCTCCTCATCTAGCACGCCCTGCAGCTGGCCCCTAGATGTCCTCTGCCTGTGCCTTGGTGAGGTCGTGGTAAGGCTCCAGCTTGACCGCGACGCAAAGGTCATTTGCCTTTAGTGCGTCGGAGTAACTCGTGGAGCCGGTCTATGGCAGCGGTTTGAATCGCTTGCCACTGCCCTGGGGAGTGCGAGACTCGTCCGGGCGAGTTCTTTTGACGGGCTTTGTTTCACTCGAAGGTTTCCCTCCATGTGTCGCTCGTCTCGCCCGTTTACCCTGTCCAGGTTGACCCTGCCTAGAGGGTACTTTGGCCGCTACAGGCGTCTTGGCAGGTGGCCCCCACAGGAGTACACTTCCCCGTGGCTTGACTTTCGTCTTCGCCTCGGGGCAGCACGTCACTGGCGGGGGCAACGCGGGCCCCTTCGGGCCCTTCAGCGACTTCAAGCCGCTTACTTCCACCCGAGGTCAGACACCGTGCTTGCCTTTCCACTCGGGCTTTCGCCCTGTTGGCGTTACGGATCTTCTTGGACGGGTTCGGTTTTTTCGACGCTCTCTTCTTTGTCCTTACCAGGCTCCAGCCGGTTTCTTCCAGGCCGGGTCCCGCAGGTACGGGCATTGCTGCCCTCAAAGAGGAGAGGTCGATGGTCGACACTGGCTCCGTATTCTGGTTAGACACCAGAGGTGTCGCCAGAGTCGTGGATGGCGCTGCGGTCGGGTTGTTTGCCTGAGCAGCAGACAAAGGTGTATTTGCCGGATTTGATTAAATAGGTAGGGAAACACTTATTAATAACAGAGTTTTACTTACGATTTCACTACACAATTATACACGGCACTTGACGGGAAATCTACGTTGAATGTGGATCAAAATATATGACACCGGCTAGTCGAGTTAAAATCTACACTAGAACTATTGACACTTCACTCAAATTAAAACCGAACTGTCGGTCGCTGCGGTTAGCGTGGCTTTTATACCGCGCGTATAGAGTCGAAAACTGTCTGGAGAAATCTCGAAACCGACTCTGAAAGCTTCGTGTATCTACCTACTCAAGTAGTCGGGAATTCGGGACTATTGCTATCTCGCTTGCTCTAACAATATAACCCGTGGATAAGCCGCCACCGCGCTGCCGTCGTCGCCGCGCCGCCGGCCGCGGCGCTTCCTCAAGAAAACGAATTTAACCGACATCAGCACGAACATTACCGACCGCTGTTACCGACGCATGCACGGCGCACCGATAAGCGCACTTAAGAGCGCGCGCGCGAGATTCAAATTAATTTTCGAACATATTTTTGTTGGTTTTATTCTGGAATAGAATTCAATATTTTTCGAATGTACGAGAGTCTTATTTAGAGTCTTATTATTTTTGCTGTCGGCGGGCCACCAGTATTCGACGGGCCGCGGTCTGTGCATCTCTGACCTAGACTTTGGTTTAGCCGTAGCACAACTTGAGAAGATGGACATCAAACAAATTGGCGATATTATTTTATCACCCGCCAACACAGGAAGATACGAAGCATTAAAAAGCAGACTACTATCCGTCTACGAGAAGTCAGAAAACAAACAACTACAGAAGCTGCTAAATGACGTAGAACTAGGCGACCAGCGACCCTCCCAACTTCTAAAGCGTATGCGTGACCTGGCGCGCGACAAGATACACGAACATACACTCCGCATGTTATGGATCGGCCACCTACCATCTGCTACAAGAGCAATGCTTGCGGTTAGCGAGGAATCAAGACTCGAGGCACTGGCAGCGATGGCCGACAAGATGGCCAAGCAGACAAAAGAAGTACACTCTGTATGTTCGTGTGGCCATGGCAGCGGTATTACGAATAAGCCAGCAACATCAGCACCAGACGAGAGAATCCTCTGCATGATCGAATCACTAACTAGAGAGATCGCCGCGCTATAAACGAATAGATCGAGGAACAACTACCGTCATCTGCGCAAAAATCATCAACGACGGTCGCGCTCACGTTCAAACTCAGTAAATCGTACGCCGTCGGTATGCTATTTAAATCGAAAGTTCGGAAATGAAGCCTACAGATGTCGAAGTCCGTGTACTTTCGAGAAGAAAACGAATCAGACACGACAAAACTAGAAAAGACTCTAGCTGCCACGGGAGCCGAAGTCGACGAAATTTCAAAATACCGTCGTTTATTTATTAAAGAAATATCTACTGGACTTCGTTTTCTCATCGATACGGGAGCCAACGTGTCTGTCCTACCAATAAGAAAAATAGAAAAAAGCAGAATGAAGCAAAATAGTAACCTATACGCCGCCGACGGAACGTCAATACCATCATATGGCGAACGAACAATGGTTTTGAATATCGGTTTACGGAGACCCTTCAAATGTAATGTTGTGATCGCCGAAGTAACTCGACCAATATTAGGCGCCGACTTCCTGCACAAACATCAACTTACAGTCGACATTCATGGGCGGCGATTGATTGACAAAAAAACTGGGTTATCTGTCATCGGGTACGTCATACCTACATCAAAGCACAGTATCAACACTGTAAGCAACAAGCAACCGTATCACGACCTAGTGGCAAAGTACCCAGATATCACTCGACCAACGCTGAAGCTCTGTCACAGTGAGGTGGAATACCGTATTGAAACGACGGGACCACCATTATATGCTAAAGCAAGACCACCGTCACCCAATAAGTACAAGGCAACGAAGGAAGAGTTCGAGGCAATGATGGAACAAGGAATCTGTAGACCATTGAATAGCCCATGGGCGAGCCCAATACACCTAGTTATGAAGAAGGACGGCAAGTACAGAGTATGTGGTGACTATCGCCGATTGAATTCAATTACAGTTCCATACCGAGACTACACGACTTCACCTTTAATTTACTAGACAAAAAAATCTTTACAAAAATTGATTTAAATAAGTCTTTCTACCAAGTTAGAAACAGAGAAGAAGACATTGCGAAGACAGCCGTGATAACGCCTTTTGGTCTGTTTGAATTCACGAGAATGTGCTTTGGCCTACGTAAAGTCGGGGAGACATTCCAACGACACATTGACAACGTTCTGCGAGGACTTCCTGTGTTTCCATTAGTTGATGACATTCTTCTGGCATCTTCTACAGAAGAACAACACAGATATGATCTAGAAGAAGTATTAAAGAGGCTTAATGAAAACGGACTCCAATTTAATGTAGCCAAGTGTACCTTTGGACAGCCTACCCTTGAGTTTTGAGGCTATACAATAACTGCCGAAGGTATAAAACCAACAAACGAGAAGGTCACAGCTACATTAGAATACCCGCAACCGCAGACTATTCAACAACTTCGTCGTTTTCTCGGTATGATGAACTTTTATCGAGAAAATATTCCATATGCCGCGGAACACCAGAAGGAGTTAAATGGCTACCTACAAAGTACAAAAAAGAGTGATAAGACACCCGTAAAATGGAATGAGAAGGCGATAGAATCTCTTCAGAAGTGCAAACAAGACATAGCAAATGCAGTAATTCTATCGTACCCATCACCAAGTCTACCTTTTGCCTTATTAACGGATGCCTCGGACACCTGCGCGGGAGCTGTACTGCAACAAAAAATCGACGGACAACGGAAGCCACTCGGATTCTTTTCAAAGAAATTTAACGACGCACAGAAGAAATATAGTACCTACGACCGCGAACTGCTAGCAATCTACATGGCTGTTCGTCACTTTCGCCGGATATGTGAAGGCCACGACGTCACCGTTTTCACGGATCATAAACCTCTAGCCCACGCACTAAAGGCAATTGGCAAGAATGAAACGCCGCGACGCACAAAATATCTAGAGTACATCGGTCAGTTTGTCACCAACATCGAACACATCGCAGGGAGAGACAATATCGTCGCTGACGCGCTCTCCAGAGTCGAAACAATAACATGTCCAACGCCGATTGACTACGCCGAGCTAGCTAAAGCTCAACACCGCGACGCCGAACTCAAACAGTTGACACAGCAAGACTGTCATACCTTCAAACGTATAACAATACCCGGAGCTACAACAACAATCACTTGCGAAATGTCTACAGGATCTGCTCGTCCGTTCTTACCACCGGAGTTCAGACAGAAGGCTTTCCAAGGAATTCACAACCTTAACCACCGGGCGTAAGAGCGACGAAGCGATTAATAACGGCGCGCTACTTCTGGTCGTCAATGAAAAAGGACGTCATTGAATGGGCAAGAAGTTGTTTACAATGTCAACGCGCGAAGGTGCATAGACACACTAAAGCACCAGTAGCGAGTTTCACCCTAGTGGAGCGTTTAGAACATGTGCACATAGATATCGTGAGTCCACTACCAGTATCAAACAACTTCCGTTATATACTAACCATGATAGATAGGGCTACCAAATGGCCAAAAATCTGTACTATGGAAGAAATAACAGCAGAAAAAGTCGCAAGCGCTTTATATGAGACGTGGATTGCAAGATTTGGCTGTCCTGTAACCATCACCATAGACCAAGGCAGACAATTCGAATCCGAGCTGTTCAACAAACTAATGCACCGCATGGGAATACAGCGAACACGGACTACTGCCTACTACACGGACTACCCCCAGTCGATCGGCATCATCGAGCGCTGGCACCGCACGTTATAAACCTCACTCACTGCGAGATTGCGACCACTGGTAGGTATATGTAATTAGGTCACAACACCAATAATAAATATATGTGGGTAGGACGCCCGATGAGGCGCCGGCTATTGAAATAAAGATCAATCTTGGTTTAGACGCTGTTTGATTTACTTGTCCCCTTGCTCCCAACATGACATGGCGCAGTCGGTAGGATTAAATGCATAATACTAAGGAAAAGAAGATATTGAAGTGAGAAGTCGATATCGGACAGAAAATAAATAGCAATATAAAAAAAAAAAAAAAAAAATACGATGGAATCCGTTCTTCAGCCACCGCCGCCGTTTCAATTTGATAATAGTTTGTGCAACATAACTTCTGGGAATCTGAGTACAGAATGGCAAAAGTGGAAGACTGCATTCAACATCTACTATGAAGCTTGTGAATTATCCAACAAAAACAAGAAAACGCAAGTTAACATTTTGCTACATATTGTTGGCGAGAAATGTCGAGAAGTAGCGGCACAATTTAATGAACAGTGGAATACGGTGGATGAGTTATTAAAAAAGTTTGATGACTTTTTTATACCAAAGAAAAATTTGGCAGTGGAACGCCATAAGTTTTTCAAGAGGGACCAAAGGGAGTTAGAATCTGCAGAACAATACGTTTTTGAATTAAACAAGATGGCGGTCCAGTGTGAATTTAAAGATTTACGTGACGATCTTGTCTGTAGCAGGTTGATATGTGGCATAAGGGATATAGCCCTATCCGAAAGATTATTACGTGAACCAGACATGAGGTTAGAAAAAGCAATCGAAATATGCAGATTGGCGGAAATGTCGCGTATGCAAGCAAGGAACATCAAGGAAAACCAAGAATATAATAGCCAGGTACACGCGATTAATGAAGAAAAGATAAGCGAGCACGACATTAATGGGCAGTCCACGCAGGGTTCACGCACATCAAAGCAGACAAAGACCGGCCGTTCTCGTTATGACCATCCGCCGAGACAAGACACGGTGAACCACTCAACTCATACTAAATAAACAGTACAGCGATATCAGCATGCAAACAGATGTGGGTACTGCGGTCGAGTGCACCGAAGGTACGAGTGTCCGGCGCGGGGTCAAAGGTGCATGAAGTGCAACCGCATCAACCACTTTGCGAGGATGTGCAGAGTTCATTCCGTACTGGAGGACTCCACCGATCACCGATCAGGTAATAAAGGGTAAAATTGTGGGTAGGCAACCAAAAGAGTAGTAAAGTTTTTCGAGCTGTATAAATATTTATTTTTTTAATAAATATACAAGTTATTTGTGGACTTACATGTCAGAAATCATCTGCTAGATCATCCAGCTGCCGGATTCTATAATAATTACACTTTCTGCTATAATATGACCACCATACAAGCGACAATTCATGACCTCACCAACACCTTCAATAAGAGAATGGGGGAATTTGAAGCCCAGCTCACAAAAACACCTGGCCCGCCATTAGGTGCAGCCAATCTGTCTACAGAATTTGCTGCATTTAGAGCCTTTGTGTCACAGGCCCTACAACTACTACAGCAGCAGGTGGAAGCACTGTCTCACACTGTAGATAGTATTGAAATGCATGGGCGACGGAAGATCCTGCTCTTGCATGGTGTTGAGGAGACACAGGATGAAAATATTGCCAACACTGCCGTAGAAATCATCACCCAGCACCTTAATCACCGGGACTTCACTGCTGCTGATATCAAGCGCTGTCAAAGGTTGGGTCGGGCTACTTCCACCAAAAAACCTAGACCCATACTCATCAAGCTTGCTGACGTGACTGTCCGAGACAGCCTGTGGTACAGCAAAACGAAGCTGAAGGGCTCTGGTGTCACGTTGTCAGAGTTCTTGACCAAAACAAGGCATGATTTATTCATGGCAGCCAGGGAAAGGGTGGGAACTGCGAGGTGCTGGACCAGGGAGGGCTTTGTTTACGTCTTGGGGCCGGATGAAGAGCGTCATCGAGTGCTGTCCTCAGCTGAGCTTAACAAGGTTCTCACTATTCCACCGAAGCCGACCATCGCGGTACCGAAAGCCACCGGGACGAAGCCTAAGCGTGCAGCTGCTGCTAAAAAGTAACTTATCTCGCATACATTGCTCAGTCCAGGTACAATTCATCACTAGTATAACATTAAGTTATTGTTTACCTCAACTTCACTTAAATACCTTCATATATTTAATTTTGCATTTGTTATTTTCTATAACCCACATTTTATAGTAAACTTTAAGTATTGAAACTTGACATTTACTTCAAACATGACACATAATGTCATTTTGCGTTTCGTTCTGTACTACTCTCTAATCCTGTATTTGGAACAAAGACTTTTGAACACACTTACCTGGACTGAAAGTGAGTGCTAATTTGTTTTCTTTTTTCTATGCTATTTTTATTTAATTCTCGTTTTTATACCTTTTGTATTGTACAATTTTTTGTCGTTTGTTGTATCTCTTTTCTCTCTAATTTAATTATTTCTATCACTGGTCATTCTAAAACCGGCAACCGGCAGATGGAGTTAATGCATTAATTTAGTTTAATATATTTTTATTTTTTTCTATTTACTTATATTTTTTTTTCTGAATATTTTATAAACATACACTTTTGATTGTATTCTAACCAACGACTTGGAAACTTCAAATGTCTTCTTCTGACCGCAGTGATGATAGTACCGACTTTTTGTCTGCTTGTAGTGATCTTGGTTCTCAGGGTGATCCAACAATCGTTGAGACTCTCTCATCTCGGTTCTCTGACGTGCCCAAAAATCTTAACATTGTACACATCAATGCTCAAAGTGTTCCGGCTCACTTCCCCGATATGCTGGCATGTTTTGACTGTACGAATTTACACGCTTTACTTATTTCTGAATCGTGGCTTAAGCCCTGCTTACCCTCTTCTGCTTATACCCTGCCAGGGTTCAATCTCATCAGGAATGACCGCGCTGTGGGTGGGGGCGGTGGTGTTGCAATCTACTTACGCTCCTATATCCCCTACTCTGTTATTAGTATGTCGCCGCAGCCCCCTCCAACGAATGCGGGTGAACATCTTTTCCTGGAAGTTGAACTCCTTCACTCTAAAATCCTTCTTGGTGTATTCTATTGCCCATCCTTACGCATTGACTTTTTCTCATCGTTTGAACTGCTCCTAGAACAACTTACTCCTTTATACAGTCATTCCATAATCATGGGTGATTTCAATACCTGCCTCCTTAAAAACGATTCTCGTTCGTCGACGCTGCAATCTATCATCCAATCTAGCAATCTATCCATTCTTCCTTCTAATGCAACGCACTACTTCCCACACTCTGCTCCTTCTCTGCTAGACCTTATCCTTGTTTCTTCCCCTAATCTTGTAGCTAAACACGGTCAGTGCTCTGCTGATGAGTTTTCTTACCATGACTTACTATATCTTTCCTATCGTCTCCGACCTCCTAAACCTAAAACTAAAATTATCCTGCAGCGGAACTTCAAGGACATGGATGTGGTTGCCTTAGTAAGAGATGCCAGCAGCATCGACTGGGCACCTCTCTTTAGTGCTGACTGTATTAATGACAAAGTGTCATTTTTTACCTCCAAGTTACTGTCTCTCTTCAATAAATATGCGCCGATTCAAGAAATGAAGGTTAAACGCCTCCCGTCACCATGGCTAACTGCGGAGATAAAAACGCTAATCAAAAAGAAAGCGACAGCGAAATCGAAATTCAAAAAGAATCCAAGCGATAGCAACCGGGACAAATACGTGTTTATCAGGAATCATTGCAGCAGGGTGTGTAGGAACGCTCAACGCCGATATATCCACAGCTCCGTTGAAAACGGGGATCCAGCTAAAGTCTGGAAATTTTTAAGGTCAATTGGAGTAGGCAAATCTGTTAATGAATCGTTTTCAAAAAATATAAACTTAAACTTACTTAACCAACATTTTACTGCTTCGTCAAATTTTGATAAAATGACAAAAGATGCTACACTGAAACATCTTACTTCTGCCCCGACTCCTGACTGTTCTCCCTTCTTCTTTAGTCAACTTGCAGAGTGTGATGTTAGGAAGAGCATAGTGTATATTACTTCAAATGCAGTGGGTTCTGACTGTCTAAGCCGCAATATGATCCTCCCAATCCTCGATGAAATCCTTCCTGTTGTTTGTCACATACTAAACTTTTCAATTACCTATAGCGTATTTCCAACGGCTTGGAAGGATGCTGAAGTTATACCCATCCCCAAAAAGAAAAACCCCGCATCCTTCTCCGATTACCGCCCTATTTCAGTCCTCCCTTTTCTATCCAAGGTCCTAGAACGTCTTATTCATTCTCAACTCACGAATTTCCTATCCAGAAACGTGCTCCTAAATCCTCTCCAGTCCGGTTTTCGACCTGGTCACAGTACCACTACTACCCTAGTCCATATTACGGAGGATATCAGATCTGCTATGGAGAACGGCGAGCTTACAGTTCTAACACTGCTGGACTTCAGTAATGCATTCAACACGGTTGACTTTGACGTTCTGCTGTGTACATTACGCACTCTTAACATATCTCCAACTGCGATTGACTGGTTTCGCAACTACCTGCTTGGTCGCCGGCAGCGCATTAGTATTGAGAGCAATGTTTCATCTTGGTGTAGTACTACAGCCGGTGTACCGCAGGGCGGCGTGCTATCTCCCCTACTTTTCTCTGTTTTTATCAACACTATCACTAATGATCTATCGTCTTCCTACCACCTGTATGCAGATGATCTCCAGATCTATTCTAGGGCTACATTAGGTAATCTGGCTGATGCTGTTGGCACCACAAATGATGACCTAGATAAAATATGTAGGTGGAGCAACTCCCACGGTCTTAAAATAAACCCAACTAAAACTCAGGTCATTGTTGTTGGAAGTTCGAGAATGATCTCCAAAATTGACTGGACAAATCTGCCTCAAATCACTTGCAACGGCACACTTATTCCGTACAGCAATAGGGTAAAAAACTTGGGCATTTACATTGATACTACCTTATCTTGGGGACCTCAGGTACAAGAGCTGAGTCGCAAAATGTTTGCCGCTGCAGGGTCCTTGCGCCGACTTCGCAACTTTCTACCTACTACTACTAAGATTACTCTTGCACAATCCCTTCTTCTCCCCATCCTTGATTATGCTGATGCCAGCTATCTAGACCTTACTGAAGACAAATTAAATAAGCTTGAGAGGCTCCAAAATCTTTGCATAAGATTCATATTTGGACTTCGCAAATATGATCATGTTTCTGAATTTCGCAAAAAGCTTAAGTGGTTACCCATTCGCCTTCGCCGGAATGCACATATTCTTTCTCTTCTTTATAGTATTCTATTTAATCCTTCTATTCCACAGTACCTCAAATCATGGTTTACGTTCTTGAATGACACACACTCCAAACTGTTGAGATCGTCAGGGAACCTAAAACTAAAAATGCCGGAACATTCCACAAAATTCCTTGACAGCTCCTTCTCTGTCCAAGCAGTTCGGTTGTGGAATACCCTACCGGTCGCAATCAGACGGGCACAATCACTTGCCTCATTTAAGAAACAAGTGAAAGAGTACTACCTGGAAGACGGCAACGTCAATTAACTTCTTCTAAGTCGACTAGGTCACACTTTTTCTTATAATATATGTATTTATAACTTAAAATCGTCGTATCTAATTACATGTATCTAATAACACCATTTTTTCCCTCTAGTATGTTTTATATTCACCTAAGGTCAACAAATAGATATTACGTGTAATTATCACTTTTTATAGTTATGTATATACTACTTTGATTTCTTCTTCTTATTCTTATTCTTCTTTCCTAACACACCAGCAACTACCCAATACCTCCTCCTCTTCATGTTTTCTCTCCATACCACGGTTGCCTGTAAGAGATTGCCTCGGGGCGATAAGGCCGCCACTTGTACTGAACTAGCTTTAGGTAATTATGTATATTTTATATCTGGTGTACAATAAAGTGATATATTATTATTATTAAACAAAAATACTTGTAATTGTAATGAGTGGCTAGTAGCACTAGAAATTGTAAATGGTACGATAATTAGTTTTAAATTAGACACCGGAGCCGACGTAAATGTTTTACCTCGTAAATTTCTCAAAACAATTAATTTATCAGATAATGATTTATTGAAAACATCAATTAAATTAAGTGGGTACCCTGGTGACGTTATTTCGGTGATAGGCAAGTGTTATTTGAAAGTGAAATATAAAAATAATGTTTTCTTTTTGCAATTTATCGTTGTTGATACGCCTTCATCCCCGATACTGGGTAGAAGTGCATGTGAGGAGTTGCAATTGGTCAAGAGAATAATGTCAATTAGCCAAGATAAGCAGTTTAGTTACAGCATTTTGAACGAGTTTCCTAAAGTTTTTGTGGGCATGGGCTGTTTACCTGGCGAGTACAAAATACAAATAAAAAATAATGTCGAGCCAGTTGTACATGCTCCTAGAAAGCTACCAGTTGCAATTCGAGACCAAGTGAAAATTAAGTTAGAAGAGATGGTAAGAGAAGGTATAATAGCTAAAGTTGATAAACCTACGGACTGGGTTAATAGTATGACGGTAGTCAAAAAACCTAACGGGAGTTTGCGTATATGTCTAGACCCTAGGAATCTTAACAGTGCAATTAAGCGGGAGCATTTTAAACTACCTACGTTTGAGGAAATAGTCACCAAACTAGCAGGCTCCAAATATTTTAGCACTTTAGATGCAAAGCAGGGATTTTGGCAGGTAAAATTGCATAAAGATAGTACCGATCTATGTACGTTTAATACTGCATTTGGTAGATATAAATTTTTACGAATGCCGTACGGTATCTCGTCCGCTTCAGAAATATTTCATAAACGTTTGTATGAACATCTGGATGATATTGAGGGTGTAATTTTATTTGTCGACGATATTTTAATAATGGGTCCCACAAAAGAAATACACGATCAACGATTACGTACGGTTCTTAAAAGATGTGAGGTCATTAATATAAAATTAAATAAAGAACACACAATAAAGGGCACAAAATTTCCAAAGATGGCGTAAGCCCTGACGATTCGCATATAAACGCAATAAAAAATATGCCCACTCCTACCTGCGTAAAGGATGTGGAGAGATTTCTGGGTTTAGTTACGTACGTTGGTAATTTTATACCCAACTTATCAGACAAAACGTGTGTTTTGAGAGAATTACTTAAAAAAGACATAGAATGGCACTGGACAAACAAACATAATCAATGTTTTAACGAAATAAAATGTCTTCTTGTGAATCCACCGGTCTTGCAATTTTATGATCCACGGAAACCGGTTGTAATATCCGTGGATGCGAGTAAAAACGGTCTGGGGGCTTGTTTATTGCAAACTAATTTGCCTGTATGTTATGCATCCAAGGCACTAACTAAAACCGAACAGTCATATGCACAGATAGAAAAGGAGCTGTATGCCTGTGTCTTTGCTTGTGAAAGGTTTTATACATACATCTACGGACGAACAGAAATAACTATAGAAACCGATCATAAACCTTTAGTAAATATTATAAATAAGCCTTTAGCAAATGCACCTGCGCGCCTACAAAGAATGCTAATGAGATTACAACCGTATACGTTTACATTAGTATATAAGCCCGGCCGATATTTATACATAGCCGATACATTATCGCGTGCGGTTGCACCGAGCGCGGAGCCAGTCGATTCAGTTCACTCACGTAATCACTACGACGCGCAGGCGCAAGTATGTTCGATCAGTGCTAGTAATGTATTGACGGACACGCATTTTGTAGAAATTCAAAAAAGCACTTTAGAAGACGAAGACATGCAATTATTAATCAAAACCATAAAACGGGGTTGGCCAGTTGATAAGAGTACTCTAGATAATAAATTAAAACCCTTCTGGGAATGCAAGGAGGAGTTAGTTGTAAATTTTGGCATAGTATGGAGAGGCTGTAGGGTTGTCATTCCTAAATCAATGCGTTATAAAATGTTAAAAAATATACATAGTAGTCATTTAGGTATTGAGAAATGTAAGCTTCGAGCTCGTCAAATTATGTATTGGCCTAATATGAACACGCAATTAATAGATTACTTATCGAAGTGTCAGGCATGCTTGAACTATAGAAAACAAAATATAAAAGAACCCTTAATTCCGCATGAAATACCTGATAGACCGTGGTGCAAAGTCGGTATAGATATCTTTCATTTAGGTTCCAAATCGTATTTAATAGCGGTGGATTATCACAGTAAATTCATTGAATTGGCACAATTAAATTCAAGTACCTCTGAAAATGTTATAAATAAATTAAAAACAATATTCGGTAGACAAGGTATTCCAGAGACGGTTATGTCAGATAATGGCCCCGAGTTCTCATCTTTAGCATTTTCTGATTTTGCAAGAAACTGGAAATTTCGTCACGTCACGTCATCGCCTAGATACCCACAGTCCAATGGTCAGGTCGAGCGGTCCATTCAAACTATAAAACAAATAATTAGAAAAACTGCGTATGATCAATCGGATTTTAACTTGGCGTTATTAGAGTATTTAAATACACCAATTAGCAAAGAACTACCATCACCCGCAGAGTTACTATATAGTAGAAAGCTACGTAGCATCGTGCCGTGCAACCCTATATTATTAAAGCCAACATTACATAATAACACGGCACAAAAGATTAAAAGTCGTCAACAAATTCAAAAATATTATTATGATAGAGGATCAAAAAACTTAACACCTTTATGTGTAGGACAGAAAGTAAAAGTTAGAATAAACAATACTTGGCAATCGGGCATTGTAAAAAACAGGTTTGGAATGCGATCATATGTTGTGTTATTGAATAACGGAACTAGTTTGAGACGCAATAGAAGACATTTGATTGCTGATTCGAACCGCAATTGCTTATCACCACAGAATGAATACAGTTTGTTATATGACGATATAAACTTAGACACATCTCAATCCACGTCTGTTGGCTCCGGTGAACTAGTCTTACAATCAGCTGATGATAACTGTTCTAATGCATATCGTACTCGTTTCGGCAGGATAGTGCGGCCTCCTGATCGGTGGGGCTACTCAAAAAACCGAAATTCCATAGGTGAGTGTAAATGAAATGTAAATAGAAAATAAAATGTATTTCAAACTTATTTAAAAACTGAAAAATAATTTTAATGAAATGATTTCATGATGGAATGTTTTATTAATATTATCATTTTGTAATAGAACGTTTTAAATTATAATTGTAAATACCATGCTAAATAATATGTTTGTTTGTTATTTTAAATAAAATATTTTAAATCTAGATTGTGGAATTAAGAATAGAAATTACATTGATTGTAAATTTAAATTAATTCGTAAAAATGTATTAAATGTAATTTTCATATTGATTTAATCCGTATAATATATTCGTATCTATTTTGAATTCTATAATTGAATAAATAAGTGGAAAAATAATACAGATTGTTTAGGTTGTAGATGCTTATAATTGTTTATAAGTACCCCTTTTTAAATGATTATGTGTACTCGTATGTCTTATGAACAGATTTTAATTATCTCATTGCATGTAAATTTTCCTTTATTATCACTTAAGTAATGAGTAACGTTACTTTGTAATGATTTGATTTTGATTTTATGCAAAATCACTTCACTTTCAATTATTGCATGTTTATACTATTTTCACATTTCTATTAGGGACATTGATTGTTGTTTATAATTAGTAGTATTAAATTTGATTATTATTATTTATATTATAATTATGTTTATTAATATAATAAATAGAAAAACTTTGTTTGAGAAAAGGGGTTGTAGGTATATGTAATTAGATCACAACACCAATAATAAATATATGTGGGTAGGACGCCCGATGAGGCGCCGGCTATTGAAATAAAGATCAATCTTGGTTTAGACGCTGTTTGATTTACTTGTCCCCTTGCTCCCAACATGACAAACTTCTACCAACTGGACGTTTGAGTTACCTACTGTAATACTCGGCCTCCGTGCAGCTTTCAAAGAAGACATCGGCACTATTACAGCAGAATTATAATACGGTAAATACTTCGATTACCCGGAGAATTCTACGGCGAACCTACAAAGTCATACAACACTACATCTCAGTTTATGAATCATTTAAATGAAGCACTGAAAAAGGCGCAGGTGCAAAAAGAACACAATAATAAACAGCGAGACGTATTTATTCATAGCGATCTAAGCAATTGTACACATGTATATATACGTAATGATGCAGTAAGCAAGCCGTTGACGCCGTGCAGTTAGAAAATAGAATCTCAAACATATCAATAGACAGATTGAAGCGGGCATACCATTTCAATATAACATTCGATAAGCAATCAAATGATGTACCGGCGAACATCTAAGCCATCCGTACGCTTCTGGCGGCGGAGTAATGTAGGAGCGACCTACATAAAATAAAAGCATACGTCCTAACGCGGCGAGGCCGCGACGACACTGGCTGCGTCGCCGCCCCGCCGAAGGCGAGTACATGCGCAGTGAACGGCGTGTGCGCCGGAGCAGCGAGTGACATCCCTGCGCTGAGTTCAATTGCATTCTGAATTGGATTACTTCGGCGCGGTTATTTTATAGTAGGACACTTTGTAACAGTTATTTATCCATTTTATTTGTATTGCGTATGGAGAACTGTAAACAGTGACACCTGTCGCCCCGCGTCGTATTTATTGATTTATCCGAAGAAGATTGTAACTATAGTATTGATGTCTCTTCGTCCGCCATCGGACCACTAGATGGCGTGGTTTTTTTGGTAAGTCGTAGTAATAATTTATCCTGTCAAATTGTATTGGTGTTAAAAGTGTCATGTTATGGTAGGAAGCGGGTTACTGTTGAATTGAGTCGTGTTAACCTCAATGATAATTTGAATTCGATTGGGCTCCCATTCATGACTAAATAAAGAAGGGATTCTTTCTAGAAATTTCACAAACCGAGCATATATAAGTCCGGCTTCCAGCCGCAAGGGACACTCCGGTGATTCTAGTCTTCTGATCTGAAGTAGCATTTTGATTGTCTGTTTATTCATTTTTAGTAAATTCTGTGTCCTAAGTACACACTTCAGTGGTAAGTTAATCTTATTTTTCTTGTAGTCATTTGTTTTTGCAATCTGAACGATTATATGAGTGTTAATCCATTTGTAGGGCTCCAGATTTCGGGTCAAGAGATACTTCTCAGACGGCGTGCTCTTTTGTTTGTGGCCTTCTTGTGCGTAAATGAGCTCCTAAGTTTCATCTGATTACTGGCAGTCACGCGGCTCACAAGCAAGCGGTCAGCCTCATTCAAGGGTTACGTAATTTTTGTTAATGTAACTAATATAAATACCTAACCTACCTATATACCTAATATAAATAGCCGACTCGGGCTGGTGTGGAAATAACCTGCAGGATTGCTGACGAAGAGGCTCCTAGCAACATCAGCTCGGCCTTGACGAGCGCCGCTGTTGGATCTTTTTTATATGCCCACTATTTATATTTATTCAATTTTAACTCTGTATTTGGAATGAAATATACATGTATGTATGACTGAGGTGTAAGTTGTGTTTCTCTGAAGAGTCCCTTAGGTTGCCCACACGCACACATATCCATACCCTTCTGTTGTCGACAAGGCGCCCTGAGGTAATCTCGTGTATTTCACCGCTGGGTAAGCCGGTGAGTAGACCCCCTGACACGTTCAGCGGTTACAACTTTTATACCCTGCGACACGTCGGCCATAAGGATCGCGAAGTCCCAAGTTGTGTCATTGGTCAATTTACTTTTATTACTCCTTAATGCTACCACTAATTGTACCAACAAATTGTACATATAATACGATTTTTTTTTATAGTAAACACCCATTGTCATAACGTATCTTTGTTTAATTTCTGCATCGAGAATTCCCCTAAAAAACTATCCAGTGATCGAGAAAGATCTGCTTCCTATAGTTTGGGCTACAAAATATTTCCGACCATATTTATATGGCCGACCTTTTAAAATACTTACAGACCACAAACCGTTAGTGTACTTATTTAATATGAAAGACCCTACAAGTCGTCTTATGAAATTTAGAATAGCATTAGAAGAATATAACTTTGAGGTAGAATATATTAATGGTTCTGACAATGCAGCTGCAGATGCACTGTCAAGGACCACTATAGAAGATTTAAAAGAAATACACGAGAATGTAGTAAATGTAATGACGCGCTCGCAAGCGAGAAATCAGAATAACCCTGATTCTACGGTGGATATAGCAGACACCGACTCAAGGCCCGATCTACCGAGTCTTGAACACTCATATTAAACCTAAATAATCAGTCGAGTTAAGATTTATTAACACAGAAAAGTAAGACAAATTAAAAAATAATATAACATTACAAATGAAAATAAAATATTTTGTATGTATGTATTATGTTGTTATGTTCACGTTAGGTTTCTAAACTCTCAATCGCAAATGACGCGAGACGTATTTGTGACAGAATAAGATAATTTTTGCAATTTATTAAACTTAGACGAAATATACATATTCAAAACTAAAGACAATGATATTTTCAATAAGAAATTATTAGCAGAGATAAAAGATAAAAGCAGATTAGGATCACGTATATCATGTATTTTAAGTGATGTTATGAGATTCGACAATAAAGATGACAGGCGAATAATTTTAAATGACTTTCACCTCTTACCTAGTAGGCCATGCTGGTATGAGACTGTCAAATAACATGTTACAAAAATACTATTACTAGCCTGGCATCGACAGCGATGTTCAGAAATTTGTAAGATGTTGCGATCAGTGTCAACGACAGAAGTATTCATTACCTCAGAAAGAACCATTGGTTATAACTAGCACAGCAAATATTGCATTTGAAAAGATATATTTAATAAATAGATATAGAATAGAATAGAATAATCTTTATTGTACACCAATTCAGGATATTATACATACAATAGTATTCCAAGTTAATGACCATGTACAAATGGCGGCCTTATCGCTAAAAAGCAATATCTTACAGGCAACCTTTGGATGGACAAATAGACTGTAAATAGGTAATTTCATGGGCAGATTTGGTGAGAAAAAGTGTAAAGGAAACTAAAAACAAAAAGAATAATATTTATACAGCACAACAGCATTCCTTTGACAATTACAAAACAAAGTAGTGTCAATTGTATACAGCAGTCAGTCCCAGCAATACCTACTTAATAAACACATAAGGAACACTAAATACATAAGGAATATATAATACACAAACAAATACATAAACTCTACCATTCATTTGCAGAGGAATACAGCAGATAGGATATGTTATGTAAATAATAAATTAAAATGACAGGTAGTGTTCTTTGACCATTTTTTTAAAGGTAGGTAAAGTTTTTGCACGTTTTATAGGCATTGGCAAAGCATTCCATAGTCGGACAGCCTGTACAGTAAACGACTTATCGTAAAACGTGGTACAGTGAGATGGTACTGCCAGTTCCAGAGATTCAGATGACCTCAGGGACCTCGAATGTGTGTCACCAAGGAAAACAAATCGTTCCTTTAAATAAGTTGGAGTAAACGGATGAAATATAATACTATAAAGTGAGGAAAGAATATGAGCATTCCGTCGAAGGCGAATTGGGAGCCACTTAAGCTGATTGCGATATTCAGATACATGATCATATTTGCGCAATCCAAATATAAATCTTATACAAAAGTTTTGAAGGCGCTCAAGTTTATCTAGTTGCTCCTCCGTGATATCGAGATAACTGACATCAGCATAGTCGAGTATAGGAAGGAGGAGGGATTGTGCAAGCACAATTTTAGTTGCCGTTGGGAGAAAATTGCGTAGTCTTCGCAAGGATCCCGCCGATGCAAACAGTTTTCGACTGACCTCTCGCAATTGGGGGCCCCAGGATAAGGTATTATCAATGTAAATCCCTAGATTTTTAACACAGGTACTCATTGGTAGTGCAGTACCGTTGAACATTATATTCGGTAATTGTGACCAGTCTAATCTTGATACCATCCCGGGACTGCCCACAACAATAAGTTGGGTCTTAGACGGATTCACTACAACTCCATACTCATAGCTCCAGTCACACACGCGCGCCAGGTCTAGACTAATAGTTGAAAAGGCT